GAGGGAATGAGACATAGATATTTATAGGTAGATTGATTAGGTAGGGGCAGGGGTATGAAGAGAGTGAGGGGGGAGGGGGCACGAGGATAGCCTATTATGTAATTTGCGCAACCTTATAATGCCGTGATAAAAAAAAGCAGAAAAGCAAGCGTGCAGTAGTATGTTGTCGCGGATGAGGGAGAGGGGGAGGAAGAAAAGAGAAGGGTGGGGGTGTGTCCTAGTCGGAAGACTTTGATGTACATTGAAAACTAACTCATCATCTAGTTATAGGTTATAGTTTACTTAAAGCGTTGATAATTACCAATGAAAACAAAGAATGAAAAAAGAGCATAAATTGTTTTGTTTCGGAACACTAACCTAAATCATTCTAGTTTTTTACTCTCGTGATCGGTCATTTCCGATTTGTGTCGGCTTTGTCCGTAACATCAAAGAATAGGGCGAAGGAAAGGAAGATGGCTGAACTCTACTGACACACTTCTCTATGGAAGCTTTGTATTGACGGAATCGCGACCTATTGCCCTCGTATTTTCTATTAAGAAACGACTGTAATAGATAGCTATCTCAATTCAGTATTCGTAGCGTCCAGCAAAGGTAACCATTACTGTGTTTGTACGAATCCACTGCTCTCTAGTTACAACAGGTGCCTCACCAGCTTTCCAGTTTTTTGTTACTTTTTTCTATGACGTCGTTGGATGTCTCGGTACTTCATTGTGATATAAAGAGTTTGTTCTCCGCTTTAAATGTTTTTCGCTTTGAGACCGGTTCATATTTATCTCATCTGTGTTCATACTTCATTATTCTAATAGCTTGTTGTTGTGTGTTGGGTTTTATGTAGATCTATTCGAGAAGAAAGCTGCTGGTGACCATACCCATACAAACGTTGTTGCATTCGTCGTTTTGGAGGCTAGCACAACAACTCTCAACACTCATTCTCATTATTTCATGCTAATAATTGGCCTTGGAGAAGGAGATTGAATGGTTCTGACTTCATATTTTCTGTCTTTAGTTTATACGGTTTCATATGCCTAGTCATAAAGTGACTATCCGTAAATATCCAAATTAAAATCGCCATCGGGCAGTTACTAAGTTGAGAAGGCAACTGCCAGTCTAGTCCAAGTAGGCATACTTCAACTACTTGGACTTGCGCTTGGACTTGGAGTAGATCTAGAGATAAGATCTAGTAGTCAATGTGGGATGTGGAGTTTGGGTGAAACGATTTGGACTGGCTCCTCAACTTCAGTTCAAGTTAAAGTGAGTGGACTCAAATATGGGAACATCTCCTCAACCTCATACTCTCATGTTGTTTAGTAAGCCTATAGATCTAGAATCTATTATCTAGATATTAGATCTAGATCTAGAGTACCTAGCCCAACCCGCGACCACTTGTCGTATTTTGCTTCTCAGCGGTCTCTGTCAGCAAAATAGGTCATGCAATCCATGTTCAGGGCCGCTTCAGTGTGTCAACTTCCGGTTTATACTGTGATATCGTCAATCATTCCAAAACGTCATTCTCAGATTTCGCATTTTAACATGTTAATGCTCTGCCCTTGGCGCGACAGCATGCCCTCAGCGCAACCGCAAACGGAACAGGGTGCGACCATGCGCGCACAGATATGACAGGTGCAAGAAAGTTGTTAGTACACCATTTAAGGGTTAGTAAAATCATTTCTTTATCAAATCATAATGAAAATGAAAACAATTATCTTATTGATAACAGAGGGTACAGAGACAAGTGGTCGCGGGTTGGGCCAGCAACTCTAGTTTAGTAACTGAAGAAAACTTCTCTAAGAATGTTTCTGATAAGCCTTTCACTTCGAACTCGACTGCTGCACTAGCAGACGACTGACGTTCTTGGAAACAGATTGACCAAAAGTGGAACTAGACAAGGCATGTAACTCTAATAAAACAGATTGCACACGAGCTGCACAGAAGGAAAAATGGGGAACTGGTCGCGCTCAGGGCACGGTCGCGCCAAGGGCAGGTGTCTATAAGTTTATTTTAAAAAAGTCTTCGGATGAGCTAATAAATCATGTGACACATCTTGTTTGCTTAAGTCACAAAGTTTTGTCCATTTGACTGGTATGCGGCCTATTGGTAGAAGAAGTCAGTTGCTCTGGTTGTGTAGGTGTAGGTCACATGATTCTTTTCAGTGGTGCTCTCAAGTAAGGGAGGATGGTAATCTTTCTTTGTCATATTGATTGCTTGTCACATTTTGTTTCTTTCTTCATGACATGCCGCATGCCATCTGTCACAGTCAGAGGACTAAACATCTGGTACCCTCATGAATGCAAATCAGGGTCTCTGATCCTTTTTGTCCACAATAGCTTGGTTTGTGTTGAAAAACTTTTCCTTCCTATGAGAGCCAGATGTTAGTCTAGACATCATCATCATCAGGTCTTTTGTGGAACCGCTTATGAGGCCTCTCTGCCTTTGGACATTAGATTTAATCAAATGGAGTGCTTATTGGCCCACAGGGGCATATATATATAAAATGGCAAGCGCTATTTGCAACGTCAGTGCTAGATGTCTAGCTAGATGTAGATGTAGTAGCCATCATCGTTTCTACATATATGTAATAATATTGTAGTTCTGCCTGAATTGTGGAACCTCTGTTTTTTTATAAGGGAGTGTATACAGACCCGGTAACCGGGAACAAAGTCACAAAGTATACAGACCCGGTAGGGGAACTCTTTTGTGATTTCGGAAAGTTTCAGCGCCCTCTTGGCTCAGGGAAGACCTAGGTTCTTCTAGATCTATGGCCTAGGTCTAGATCTAGACAGACAGACATAAAAATCATTGATCTAGTTTCGAGGCTAGCCTAGATCTAGATCTAAATGAAGATTGCGGATGTCTTTTCGAATAACGATCGTTTTCCCTCAGTTTCGGAGTTGGAGGAATCACTATTTGAAGAAAAGAACAATGCATAATTTCAATCGAGCAGTGACCCTCTCTATTTCTCTGCCTCTCTCTCTCTCCTCTGTGTATCGCGCGCCTTCCCTTTCTATCTTTCTCTCGTTCCCTCCTGCCAACTGGGGCATGTCATATACATTTTGCTAGCACTTCTCTCTCTCTCTC